ACCCCCCAACATCCCCCGCAGCCAGCAGCCTTAGAAAGGTTTAGAGAAGGCAGATTTCCAACATCCCCGTCAGTGAGCTGCGAGATGGCACCTGAGTTTGAGGCACACACAAGTGTTTGCTGTCACTATGTGTGACATTTAGGGTCTTCTGAGCAGTGTCCTGGATCTCAAACTGCCCTAAAACAACTTGTGGAAGGGACAGATGGAGGTTGCAAATATAACAATTAGCAGTCAGTCAGTAATTACTTATGAAATATAGTAAATAAATGCTCCCTGTAGGTATCCCTGGATGCCTACATGTACATTACATACACTTAATTCTCCTTAAGCATGGATAATGTCAAGTGATTCTCATGTATTTCCATAAATCTGGTACAGTCACTGACTGACAATCACTTTTCTACAGAAATCATGGAGGAAAATGGACAACTGATTGCTCAAATCCACCCATGCTCGACGGACCCTATTTCCGCTAAAATCATGGGAGGAATCACTAGAACCACAAGCACAATGTTTTCCCTGCATGCTGATTTCATTTTGAGCTGATGCTAGGCAGGCAAAAGGCAGTTCCTTTGGTGGATGCTGCATGCTTGGCCAGGCCAAAGAAGTGCAGAGAGCCATGCAACACAGTGCAGCAGACAGCAGAAACTGCTCATCAGGCTGTGTGTTGCGCAGCAGGTCATCCAGTGAATGCTCATTGAGCCTCTGCACAGTGAAGGGAGCTTCAACTCATTTCTCAATCCAATTCATTCCTCTCCTTTAGAGCACCTGTGCAGGATGCTGCCCCTGCGAGCTGGAGATCCACACCTACCTGGTGAAGTAAGGAGGAGCAACTTCCTGCAACTTCCATAGGGTGTTACGTGGCTGAACCCATAGATGGATGCATGGGTGAAGTTTGAGTGCAAACTGATGCTGCTTTCCACCCAAGCACATACACATAATTGCGATGCTTGTGTTCCTGGGCTGCATGTCAAGGATCAGGGTTAGTATGATTAAGTTTCTAGGCATCAGCATCAGTGGTACTGCATAACTTGAGCATTGAAAAGATTCAAGTGGGAAGGGGTGGGGGCAGGGGGAGTGGGCATGATCATATTGTATACGACTGTTCAGGAAACAAACACATCCTCCAATAGACATGCACACATCTGCTCCCAAGGAGCTAAGGCACATCTGCTTGGACTAGAAGTGGTAAAATGTCATCCATTTCATAGGAAATAACTAAGCCTAGTGATGTAAATTTTTATTTAGCACCATGCTTTATTCTGCTACTTTTCCCCTCACTCTTTTTAATGACCTCTTTTATGCTGGAATATCAAGCATCCAAATAGCCAATGATAAGGATTCCCCTGGAATAGAAAAGATACTTTCTAAGGGTTTTTTCCTTAGAATTCCGTCTTGTGAATCTTCTTGCACTGGAAACATAAAATAGAAGAGACATCAGACATAAGCAATGCCATTTATTGAAGCTTGAAACAAGTATGTCATCAGAGTTTGCTTTTTAAACCTTGAAATGTTAGAACAAGCAGTGGATATGCCAAATACACATTTTTTCTTGAACAACCTGTTGAAGCTGATGTGTCTCAGGCTAATATGATAATATAATGATATTATGCCTCTGCACTTAATACTCTATTCAGTTTTGAGAATAGTGACCATCTGGGTTAGGATCATAAATCCACCTTTACTTAAAAAGAGTTACATCATAAGAAAGGACTCTTGCTAAATGGATGGGAAAGATGACTGCACATATTACTAGCATAGAGATATCAGGCTGGTAAATGTGATGTAAGAACCTATGTAAAGTACAGCAGCGGCACTGCTCTCTTAAAACAGTTCATGTTTTTGTCACAGTCTTTTCCCTAAAGTTTTAAGCTGAGCAACAGTGATGACTGTGTGTTCCCTGGGTAGAAAGATTATTTTGATTAACGTCCATAATACAATTTATTCAGTTTTATCCATTTCAGATGAAATTACAGCTCCCTGAAAAAAACAATGAAGCCAGAAATGGTTACTCCACGCTAGCCATAAGGAGCACTGGAAGGGACAATCCCCCCCTTCGGGCACTTTTTCTCTCACCTGCACTGTATCCACTCAGTCAGGTCCTTTCTCATTAGCCCACATACCTGATGGCACACTTCCGCTGACCTCTGCCGATGAAACGTTGCAGGCACCTCTGAGCATAGAAGAGTCTGACCCTGAAGTGAATCTACCTTTGTCCTGCCCAAATCATAAAAGATGCTTATGAGAACATCAGAAGCATCTGCACTGTTCACCAGTCCAGGTTGTCTGGCCATCAGAGAACTGCATTGCGCGCAGCAGCATGGGCTCTGCTCTACATAATGCAGCCTGAGGCCAAGCCCTGCCCAAATGCTTCCTGGATCAGATGGGACACCTCCACTCCTTCACAGGATCCAGTATTTCTGTCTCCAGTGGAGTAAGGACTGCCCAGATTTCTATTGCTCAAAGCGTCAGTAGCCATTCAGGACCTCAGAAGGACGTAAGCACACTGCGAAACTTAAAAAGCATTGTGTCTGGCATTGGCCAGCAACACCATAGACATGTATTACTTCAAGAGTATGTGCACGTATGCTATGTACACACATGCATGCACATGCACCATTGTAAGTCATCCCCCACATCTGTTATACTAGCACCATATTTTTAACAGTGGATTTTAAGTTTTATCAGCACCTATAACTGGGTTATATTGCCATCACAGAGGTTAATAAATCTAACCTTACCATGCTGCATATGCTGAACTCCCAGAGACTTCAAGTGAAGAAGTGAGCCCTTAGCCAAAGGTCAAAAATCTATGAAAAAGGACGATTAGACTTGTGGCCATCATTAGGTTAACACATTATAGCCAGGCCCGAATATTTCTATTAACTTTCATAAAGGTCTGTCTAGAAATAGGGCTATTGCCAGTCATAGCTCTGTAACCATAGTGACACTTGGATTCATGAATATGCCTCTCACTCTACACTGCATAAAATGTGACATTTCCCTGTATCACAGTCTCAGATTGTCGGGTAGCTAGGAAGTAAATCTGAGATTTTCAAAACAATCAAGGTGTCCAAATCCTATGGAATTTCAAAGGAATCTAAATGTCAGACTCCATCCATCTCTTTTGAAAACACCCAGTTTTGCTTCAAAGGGTCCAGTCTCATCTCCCTAAAGTTTGTTCTGCCATTTCCTTCAACAGCAAAACAGTTACTGGTGCTCTCCTAATGCCTGAGGTCCAGAGCTACGCAGATACTCTGGGTCTCAGGCTCCCATCCCAGGTGCCCTCACCCTCACTATGACCAAGGATTTGCACTGGGGGAAAAGTTTGCTGTGAGTGAGGTGACAGAGTACTGTTGTGGGTATGGGCTTACACTCTACTAGGAGATACTGGATTAAATGATAGGTCTATCATTGAATATTGGGGTGTGAATTACAATCTATTAAGGTGGTAGATGCAAACAGCTTTGCTTTCATGGTACCAAGAAATGTTCCTTAAAATGTATTTGGGAACTTAACATCCCATATTCAGTGACGTTTTCAAGTTGCAGCAAGACATTTGTAGGAGAAGAAAACTGGCCAGGACAGGCTATTGCTGAGGTATCCTTTCAGAGGTTCAGTCAAGTACTAAATGAACATTTTTTTTTTTCTTTTGAAAAATCCAATGTTTCAATTCAGCCTGCATATCATAATCAGTTATTATAAAACTCTGCTTTTAAATTTATGAAGTGAGCAAACAATTTAAAGAAACATGCCCACTTCACCTTATTCCTAAAAACAGAAAAGTGAGTGAATATAGAGGGATGTGGCCCACAGCAGAAGTCTGTGTTTGCTGCCTTCACTCAGCACTCCTGAGTAAGTGGTGCTGCTGTTTCAGGTGCGTTTCAGAAAAGAGATGGAAGGAAGAACAAGTAAAACATTCATTTAAAAAAAAAAAAAAATTATTGCAAGCTTGCATCTAGCCTCTATGCATGCCTAAGAAGTACTAGCTGCTGGTACATTGTAAATTATGTTACAAATTTTGCACTATTACAGAGAAAAATTCGAAGCAGTAAATTAGGACTGATAATCCTAAGGGACATGTCTTCCCAGTGTTGATCACAGATTTCCATTTATGTTGGATGGTTCAGAAAAGAAAAGAAGGTACGTAAAACCTGGAAACACAAGCCCTACTCAAAGCAACTAGATAAAAAACAGCTAGTGCCGAGCAGCATGGTGGTTGTTTTCTTGCTTTTGAGGTGATTTTCTTCTAGATTTAGTGTAATTTTGTTGTTTCAGGCCTCGCTGATCCCAATATCTTGCTTTCTTACGAATTCGGAGCTGACTACAGGTGAAGCAGCACTGAGTCTGTATTGATGGCAGCAAGCACTTGCCAATGCCCTTCAGCCTCTGGCAGAAGTGAACCGACAGCTGGTCTTTGCTACAGGGTAGCCCTATGGTGGAGAAGATGAGAAGAATTAGCTATATTTTGCTGACAAATTATCTGTATTTATAGAATTTTAAACTGCTTTATGCCAGACAGTCATGCCTGTTAAGGCTCTTATTTATGATGGCTTTCTCTTCCTTTGCATTACGGGTCACATTGATCCCCTGAAATTTTAGGACTTTTAAGTGAAGAAGTCCTACTAAACTTCACATCACCTTCTGTCTTGGAAAATACAGTGCTACTTTATTATTAGATGAGACATAGCTCATCTATGTTTTACACTGTAAGGTTTCTGCTTTTAAGAACTGCAAGAGAAAGTCTAGCAACAATGATTTGTGAGTCTGGTATTTTCACATTCTTGTAATAGCACATTTAAGACAAGCACCATGGGCTGGCAGTGTGCTGCAGAGCCAAGCAGGGCATGCAGAAGAGCATAGACAAGGCATATGCAACTACATGTTCAGCTTGACTATGCTTCCATTTCTGCAGCACCAGAATAAGCCAGGGACTGGTACTGTATGTATTATGGTGTTGATAGGTCTGTGGTAGCTTTAATAAACTGACATGTGCCAGATTTAGTTAGATATTACAAAAAGGGGTCCTCAGCTGCGACAGGAGATGGCTAGGGGGGAGAGTCAAGCTTTGCAAAAGCAGGAAGGTGGTTGATTAGCTGAATGCAAGGCTGTTGTTCAGCAAATGCCTCAACACTAGAACTAGGGAAACTCAATGAAACTAGTATAAAGGTAGTTTTAAAGATAAAAGCACTTCTTTTCACAGCAGGCTGTGAACCTCTGGAACTTGTTGCAACAGGAGAGGGTGGAAGCAGACAGCATTGCAGTGTCAAAAACAGGTGCAACGTATTCATAGAAAAAGTTCCGTAAATTTAAACTAAAAGGCACTAAAAGGGGTGCCTTTGATAGTCCTAATATGTCAGTTGGGAATGCTGGAGGAATACCATGGAAATGAATCACAGGAAAGGACTAAACTCCTGTGTTCTCCCTAAGCAGCATCTTCTAAAGTCATTGTGGGAGACACAATATGGAGCTGCATGGACCAATGGTCTACTCAGTAGGGCTTTTCTTAGGTCTTACTGGCCCCTTAAGATTTTATTAACAGAAATAACTATTACTAATCTGTGTAGGTAGTACTTATCTTTCTGAACATGAGAGGGACAGGAGATAAGCAGACCAATTCAACCTTAGGGCAAAACACGTGCTTAAAGACCTTTGAACAGCAGGAGGAGTGATGCATCACTCTCAAGCGTATGCCAGATCTGTACTGCCCTCAGGAGTCAACCCCTCCTCTCATTGTCAGATTGGACCCTTACTGCTGACCTGCTAAGAAGAACCCTCCTCCAAAAGGCCTTTGAAGGCTCTTCCAGAAGGACTCTGAGCTGTTGCTGTTCTTACCTGAAGGAACCTGCTGGATACTACAGTACACAGGCTACACATAACGATACCCTTCTGTAAGCTTGTTCCTCCTCTGCCACTTCTCTTCTGGGCTATTAACTATCTATACAAATGGACTCCTGGGCCCCTGAAAGAGAGGTACAGGACACCCTGAGTCCCAGCAGGACTTCTCTCTACCTCTTCATTTTGGAGACAGTCTCACCCTGTGGGACACTGAATTCATAGTGCTAAGACTGTATCTGGATTCACTGCCAGTCACATTTTTCGTACAGTGTCTGTCTCACTTTGCTTGCTTGCACTCCCAGTTCAAAATGTGCAGTTCCCGTAGGCGTCTTAAGAAATGGCATCTGTTTGGACTCACAGCATGTCCTTCCACAGCCCTCAAAGCAGCCTGTGAGTTACCTAAAACTGGTCAATACAAGCAGACCTATTCATTTAGTTGCAGCACAATAAATTAGGAGCGGATGCTCAAAGAACCGCATTCCCCATCATGGTAACACAAGGTCAGAAGGGCTGGAGAACATGACAACGTGATTCTGCCTACAGTGCAGCTGAGCCATAGCAGGTTAGGCTGACCTATATTCACAACAAGCTGATAAATTAGGTCAGCTCCCTGTTTTTGCAGAATCTCAGCACAAATGGATAGCTTTTTGGAAACTAACTGATGCAGGTGTGTTATCATACCTGTACTTTTCCTGCACTCTTGCATATTGCATTTCTGATACTCCGTGGGCTTGGGTTTATCCACGCACATACTGTCATCTTCAGTTTCATTAGTTTCTATATTCATGCACTTCACAGTTCTTTGCTGAGTGCCCTCTCCACAAGAAACAGCGCACTGAAAGTAATTTGAAAATACATCAAAGTCTTTTACATGGAAATTGTGTATATGCCAATATTTGAGCTGTAATGTGACAGGAAAATAAAAATGCCATACGATCCAGAACCAATGACACTAAAGTACTCTGTGTACTGTATTCTGGATCCAGACACCTCCATGGTGCATCGTGGCCAGATTTGGCAGGATACAGTGGAGGGGTAAATAGTATAACTACAGCATCTTGGAATGTGTAACCAGGGTGAAAGGACTGTTTTCTGCAGGGGAGGATGAGGATGATCTGAAATGCCAGTCCTACAAAGTAAGAGCTTAGTAATCCAAATTAGTACTGCACACAGGAAACAAAATTCCTGTGCTTTCTCACCATCTAAATTAAACATGAATAATCAATTGCAATGTTAGGTCTAGAAATGACCGAGCTGAAGATTTAAAAAAAGCTCAGTGAGATGTTTTTTCTTTCGTGACATTCACATTATGGTTACCCTTTCTTTATGACTGCAAAACAACTGCCAGCTGTTTGTTCTGGCTGCACACAGATCACCATAAAAAAAAGAATATTTTCAAAACATGTTCCTGTACTATTCTATAAATGTACTTAATTCTTCTGACATCCCAGAGCATCTGAGAATTCCAGTTAATTTTAAATTCTTTTTGTCTTCAGCTAAATAGTGGCCAGCAAGATAAATACTTCAACAGATAAAGAATGCCAGCTAATGAAGCACAAGAGATGAAGACAGGACTGGTACCTCTTCAATTTTTCTGAAAATTATCCTCTCTGTAATGTATAACTCTATGCATAAGAGTCAATATTACTGGTGTGAAATACATTAAAAGATCTTAGGTACTCTTGCAGCAACTTTAGATTAATATTTAAAATAGTTTTTTTAATAAAGTACAATAAATGGGATTAACAAATCAGTAAAATAGTTGCTATAGATTTTGGTATTCAGTTGCTTGTTTTACGCATGTCTCAACATTTTCACTTCCATAGTTAAGTGTTAGAGTTACACTAACTCTACTCTGCATTACACTCATATTCCATCTAATGGCTTTGTGTCAAAACCAACTCACGAAATTTTCTGTGTTAAATGACTCTCCACTGTTTCCTTATTTGTGGCTCCTGGCTTTTGGTGTTCTTTAAATGTTCTCTTCTGCTGTGAGGAGTATTTGCAATGTATGAATAGGTTTATTAAGGAAACTGGAAGGAAAGGTTTATTAGATATACCAGTTTCTTTATAACGAAACATGTATTGCAGATACTGGAAGGTTCCCCAAAGATACACCTCATATTTGTCAATTAGATTTCCAGATGCCAAAGCAGAAGGCTATTGGTCAAAACTCAGATATTCTGTTTGTGTGGGCAAGTCTAATATTCCACAAAGTTGGTTTAAGGGTCACCCTGACCCCCTCAATAGTCTCAAACAGTAGATAATTTAAAATGAGTAATGGAAGAATGTCAATGATATCTCATTTTCCATTAGAAAAGGGAAAAAAACCCGCCAGCAAAATCTAATGCAGCAACAAAAAGTAAACGCTGCTATGTCTATCACGGAAGGGACTGAGATGGATGGGCTCTGAAATGTTCAGTAGTATTTTCAAAATACCTCCTATTGTAGCTCCAGCTGTGCATAAGAAACTATACTTGCCACAGATACTGAGGTTCAGTGACAAGTGATTAATATGACCAAATATGGCCAACTCATGACAACAAATAAAACAAAAGAGAAATTAATCCTACCGGGCCCCACGCCTGGTTAATCCACTGCGTACAAGGTTGCCTGTTACATGAGGCAATGGCATTAGGTCTTTTTGTCCAGTCACAGTAGCCCTCTTCTGGGCAGTAGACATGTCGCTTTTGTTGGCCACCACCACATGTTCTCGAACACTAACAAAAGAGGTGCACAAACCCATGAGGAAAGAGGTGGGAATGGATGAGAACCCAGAAACAAACCATTAAGACAGTAGTAAATGCTATTCATTAAAAAATACGGAGCCACAGGTAACAAGATGAGTGTCACTGACCCATGTGATTTAGAAAGATGTACAGGCTAACTATGCATATCAGGTCTTACAGTCCAGATATGAAGAAAAGCTCTGCACGGAGACATTTATTTCATCATAGGCTTGCAAAGAGACAGGGAAGAAGCCATACTTGATCCAAAATACTTGGGGAAAAGCTGTTCTTGACATGTATCAATACAAGGAATATAGGAGAGCATAGAAATGGCAACATAGAACAGGCAACACAGAACTGCAAGATTAATCTGTAATATTTACTGAAGACAGTACAAGTTCATGAGATGCAACATCTCATTTTTATGAGGTGGTTTGGGATATTAAAATTCACCCAGTCCATACAATAAAGTAACTATTTGGCAATAAAAGCATCATAAAAAGACAGTGATGCAAGTTATTTTTTAAACATTCTTTTGTCCACATTCTGGTATTACTTACCAACTGGTTTTTTATTATTATAGACTAGGTCTGCAGTACAGCCTGCTTGAAATACACAAAAGATTTCGTACTCTGACATAAAATAAAGTGCCAGATATACTTTGAATAATGCATTGTCCCTGTCCTACAAGGAATTGCATCCCTATGGTCAGAGGACCAGAAATGGCATCTGATAAATGAACCTTTTCAGTCCAATTCTATCCAGTGTCCTTACCATGAGGACAACTGCCAGGGTTAGACAACTGTTTTTATAAAACATTTTAAGTGGCAAACGGGTCCAATCATTTGGATACTCTTATTTTTACAACCCTTGCTGACTGCTATGACAGAAAATCCCCATACTGGTCTCCTCCTTATTGCAGGTGTGATTTCTTAGTGGTCTGTAAGGAAGCAATCTGATCACCTCCCTTGAAATCCAAAAGCATCAGGTTGACCATGCCACAAACACTGTGGCGCTTTCTCCAACGCTGCTTTTAGTAGGTGTAAAAACTAAAATGTAATCAGATCACACGCTTTAGCTGACATAAATATGTGCCTGGCTGCGTATGAGTTTGTTGGCACAGATTTACATTACAAAGTGACCCAAAAGTCAGATTTATCTTGTGTCTGACCTCAGTCTCTGGCCTCATAAAATTCCAGGCCAAAAGTGTAAAGGAAAATTCTACATTAATCATGAGAAAGAAACATTACAATGGCAGCAGAAGGGATCAGACTGTATGAATCACATTTAGTGATCCAGTAGGATAGTTAAAACAAATCCTCTTCCAGGCCATCTGCTTCTCTCTTTCAGGTTATGGTAATCTACAGCTCTAGCTGTGTGTTCCATGCAATCCTAAGAATGATTCTAGGAAGTCTTACGAACATCTACGATAATTTTTGCTGTAACCATACACAAGGACTGCAGAGCCTCTGAGTGGTACTAACTGCATGTCTTCCTTTTAGTTAAAGTTGAGTTAAAATTAACAGTCACTGTTAATTGACAGCTCCTACCCAAAGCTTGTTTTAAAGAACAATACCTCATTCCAGGGTTCCACACGCCACGGCAAGCAAGGCTCCATGTTACAACTAGTATTGAGTTGTGGTTTATATCCGAGTAATTGGCAATGAAAAGGCCTTAGAAGCCGCTTTTCACGAACATCAATGCAGTGAACATCTCGAGTCTTGAAGCCGCCATTGCAGTTAGCAGAGCACTGTACACAAAACAGAAAGGAGCACATCTCCAAATGATGCTTGCTGAGCAGCTGTCCCTTCCCCAGTCACAGAGGAAGAGGGACAGCCTGAGCTTTGCGCATCCTGACTCACAGAGGGACCTTCCAGTTTACTATAACAACAATCTCTTGTTAGGCTTAAAAACAGTGGTCTTCATCATAGCAAATCAGAACACACCATATAAATATTTCCCTTTCTTCACTGGAACATCTGTTAATAACATGAAGGCGTATTTAATTAGGAAATATTCCCAGCTATTTCCAAAAATGTCATAGTGAGAGAGTCATAATGCAATAAATACAATAAACAAATTCTGTATGCAGGGAAATTGTCAGTTCTTTAGTTATTTCTGAGGGAGGAAGGGAGGAAAGAGGCACAGCTGCATTAAGTTGATTTCTCATTCACCGTGGGAGAGGTCAGTGTCCATGGCAGCAGATTGCTCAGGCTGACAAAACTGTTCCTCGTCTTAGCCCATAGACTTGAGCTGCTGCTGATACCACTCGAAGATGGTGGACTCATCCCACAGCAGCAGTACCCACCCTCACCTTCCTTGCTCCTCCATGGCACCAAGAGGATCCATACCCCAAGAGCAGCCTGGGCATGAAAGAACAGGAGAGAAGACACAGACACCCTGATCCTCTCTCACGGCCTGTGAAATCGCTTCTTAGCTTGCAGCAGTACTGGTGAGCCCTTCCAGTCTCCTCTTTCTCCCCAGAGCTTGCTCCAAGGCTTCATGCAGCAGCACCAGGTTGTGTTCCCACCGACCAAAGCCCAGGACCTCTCCTGCTGCTGAGGAAGAACTGAATTTGCTACCCTGAGGATAAGGACAAATATGCATTTAATTATTTTGCCTTCATCCAGAATTCAAGCCATTTCTGCTGACACCACTGAATAACATGACGCAATATATCAACTGATGCTGTTCTCCTTTGCATAAATAAGCATTCTTCAGTTGAACAAGTAACCTGAATATAATACTTCCTCAGGGAGCTGAAGGATGGATGCAAGGAGAGTCCATGCTCTTGTTCACAGAAGCTTCTGTCCATCTGGACAAAAGTATGTGTTTAATACCAGACATAATTTGCACAGACTGTAAGATCTTGTCTGATGCACCTTTCTTTTTGGGGAGGGGAACAGTCAGATAAGAGAAAAGGAACAGAGAAAGCTTTACTACACTAGCAGGGGAATATAGCCATCTTGCTATCATAAGGTCACATAAAAATGTTTGAAATGAGTAATGAGAAAAACAATTGCTACTTACAAAAGTGAACAAAAAATAGCCATTTTTATATATGAAATAGTAATTAGGTTTGCATAGTTCAATTGCTGGAAAATAAGAGTGGCTAACACAACAGAAATCAGCTAAGAAAAGCCTTTTGTCTGAAATTGGCCTCATAATTGGGCTGACACTTTAAAACATTAATTTCCTATAATATTTTATCATTAAACCTGATTTCTAGCTACTTTCTGTGACATAACTATCATCCACTTGTTGCAAGAACAATAACATTTATGAAGAAAAAGTGAAGGTGAAATATGCTCCGCTGCAATTGGGACTGCAGAATGTCTATGTATCATTTAAAATCAATTTTGAAGGCTTAAATGTGGTTATGTAATGCCTTGGCCTTTCTTGGACTTTCTAAAGAGTCATGTATATTGTGTACAAACCAATTCTATGTCAAAGAGCTCAATAATATAACACTGGTTTTGTAACTATAACCTTTTTTTTGTACGAATCTGCCCTCTAGTCTGATGGCAACAACGTTGTCTGCAAAAATGACACATATTGAGAAAATTTGAGAGACCTATCTTTGTCTTTATTAAATCAACATTATTTCTAATAGAATTTTGTGGGTTTTCTCTTTGGAGTCTTGAAAAATAACCCACTGTTTGAAGCCCAAGTTTTAGACAGTGTGCAGACAAAATGTAAGTCACTAAAGTCCTTCCACACATCTTACAATACCAAAAAAGAACTCAAATGCAATTTCTTGGCTTCCACTTACCACCTCGGACACTCTCCTGTCTCTTGACCAGGCCTGTGTGCATAGCTAGGATCAAATAAGACCCTAGCCATAGTAGGCATTCCCTGATACATTTTTCTTTAGTTTTTTATAATGTAAAACTTAAAAGTTACCTGAATGTGGAACAGACCATGTCACATAAGAGCTAATATACAGTGACAAGGGTGAATAGGAACATGTCAACCCCCTCTCCCAAATTCCCACTTGCTTCTTAAAATTTGGACATGCCTCTGGAGCAGAGATCAAAAAGATGCCACATGCAAATATGTACAGGTTTGCCCTAGGATCTCCACAGAACATGGACAGTGAGCCCTGCTTTAGCTCTACATGCAAGGGTTAATGAGCACGACCCCCACACAGGAAGAACAGATGTGTTTCCATAAATAAGTTAGTCAGGAAATTAGTAAATTAGTGATGAATGGTCAAGTGGGGATCATGTATGCATTCACTAAGTAAATAATTATTTTTAAAATGAAGTCTTTAGAACTCCCTACTCTGAAGTTAGCAAGCTTACTGTTCATGCACAGCTCTGAATGAAGTTACCTTGCTCCAATTTCCTGTTTTCCAGCTAGCGCATGGGCGGAGATAACATTTTCTTGCAGGATCAGGCTTTTTCATGTGCTGACAGTGAGTTGTGTTCCTGCTGCTGCACTCCACGTGTCTCCAGAAAGCCCCCATTCCACAGGTGGTAGAGCACTGCACAAGGGTGAGAGGAAAGCCCAGGGACAAACTCAACGTTAAATCATTCTGAAAACAATCCAGGAACCTAAATGTAAATATTTAGAGCCATTTTAGATAACCTAGTTTATCTAACATATTCAAAAGAAGATTTCAAACTCACCTAAGTCTTACTTAAGGTTCTGAAGGAGGTCTTTTTGTTGCTTTGTTAAGGAAATACCAATTCTGATTTATACCATGCACTGCTCTTCCTTGGCAAACTCCTGCTTACTGAGACATTCTAAATCTGTACCAGCTGTTCCACTGTTTCCTTCTGTGATCTTTGGGGATCCAATGCAAAATGTCACTGCATCTAATCTTCAGCACTGTTCCCTCTCTATCCCTAATACTGCTGAGACATTCAGCAAATTGTGTGCATGATGCTGAAAATCTGAAATAAATTGTGTGAGACTCTTGGGAAAATTGTGCAGGAAAAGGATTTTTGAAGTGATGAATTCTGAGAGTGGCTAAGTATTTCCAACATTTGGGAGGGTTTTAGTGTCTAAAAGGTAAGAGAATATTGATCATGCCAGTCCAGATTCCAAAAATGCATGCTGTTCACCAAAAAAAGTCATTGTAATTGTATTCTGAAGTAGGAAGAGGTGAAAAGTGGCTGGAGACACCCATTTGCCTTTTTCTCCCTTAAAAAGGGAGGGACAGAGAACTATACTCACAGAATCAAATCCAACACATGCCAAGCAGCCTGTAGCTGGCATGAGAAACAGCATAAATAATCTTGCATTAAGTCAGCAAAATGATGAAGAGAGCAACTGCTGTTGTGTGGTTTGAAGTCCCTACATGGAAGTGGGAGAGTTTGCAGGGAAAGCTGAGTAAGTGTCCTTGGAAAGATAAGGAGAGCTAAGCTGAAGCTAAGGCAGGGCAAAAAAAAAAACATTGAAGACATGGAGCTGTTGCCAGATTCAGTCAGAGAAATGGGAAAAAAGGGTTAATGGTCACAACAAAGAATTTTCAAAATTATGAGTCTGTAAGGCCTCTGCAGCATGCCATCTCCAGATTCCGAGATTCCTGGGACATCTGTCCAAGAGGCCACAAAGATCCTGTTAAAGGGGACTGCGTACCACCGTTCCGTTTTGCATAGTCACGTATCTATCCAAGACAATTTGTCTGTTCAAGAGGATGGACTATCCTTGTCTTGGTTGCTGACTGTTTGATGGCTCCCCCCAGCCCTGCTATACCAGTCTGACAACACGAAGACTTTATTGAAGGGCTGCTTAGTCTTTGACCAAAATCCCATTCTGAGCATTCATGAGAAGATCAAAGATAGCTCCAGGGATGACATTGAGCAGAGCATACTTAAAAAGCTTTATGTTCTTGTCTGAGGGAGGTGAAATACAGTAGTATTCTTCCAAAAATTGTTTTGTGCAGGTACAGAGCCAACAGAGAAAGGCAAGATGCTGGAAATAGTACTGGGAGAAAGCTTTAGCTTTCTTGACCATTGTTTCATGTTACATAAAAGAGACCGATTGCTCTGAAGTTCAGTAATACTTACTGCTTTTCCCTCTTGTCATTCAGATACCAAGACTTCCTCTTGTCACAGTAGGTGTCTATTACAGAGGGAGGAAATGCAGGTGACTTTTCATGACCAATAACAGAGGTGCAGAATGAGCGTATCTGGTGGTAATGGGGTATCTTTGGTACCCAGAAAGCTCTTAGAAGGGTAAAAGTGACAGCCCAGAACAACCTGGGAAAGTAGTAGGAAAGACATTAAAAGTTACAGACAGAGGCACCGATGTCATTGGGCACTGTTTTGCCCTGCTCTAATTAGTGCTCTCCTTTGGGAAGTTAAGTGTCAACAATGTTATGGGACATGTCACACCAATTCATCTCAATGACTATCGCTATTCTTGGGCACTATTTATTTAATAGTATAGACATACCCTAAGGAGCAAAGAAATGTCAGAATATTGGCGGTCACTAAAAGAGAAAGAGAGCACAGCAAGAGATTCAACTAGGTAGATGCAATAGTCTTGAAATATCAATGCCTTGGAGAGATGTCATCTAAAAACAGGCACAAAGTTTTACTAAGGACAAGAAAATAAAGTCAGAAAATTGTAGACTAAAACTGAATTTAAAGTAATGACCAGTAAAAAAAGGTTCTGTGAATGTTAGAATCAAGGTGTGGGGAGGAAAACCAAAATTTTTATTTTATGAGAAAGATAGTAGCTGACTTATTTACAGAATCACAGGATAGTTGAGGATGGAAAGGACCTCTAGATGTCATCTTGTCCAACCCCTCTGCTCAAGCAGGGCCACCTAGAGCCAGTTGCCCAGGACATATTCAGATGGTTTCAGAATATCTCCAAGGATAGTGATTCCAGAAATTCTCTTTTTAACCACCTTTTGTTCTGCATACTTGAAAAAAAAAAAAAAGTTAAATGTGGCAGGCTTCACAAAGGTAATTTTAACAAGAAACAATAACTTGAACAAGACAGCAAAAGATTACTAAAACACTAAAGAAGAGTAAAGTAAGATGCATTAAGTATCCTTGAATTGATTTCATCAGTCTGTGAAACCAAATGTATTGACCTTACCTCAATATTCATTCAAGTGTTCTTGAATTATCTTTGAACTGTTGAAAATTATTTTTTGAAATATATTAGGAAAGTCTCAGAGGATTAGTGAAGAACATCTTTCAAGTTATCTTAAGGAAAAGAAAAAGGCAGATCTGTAGACTAATGGAACACTTCACCTAACATTACTTCACAAGAAGATACAAAGGCAAATTATTAAACAATCAAGATGAAAATGGTAAATACTAAGAAAGATGATAAAGTAATAAAACTTCCCACATGGACCTATCTAGAACAAATGATTCAAGACAATTTAATATCAGGTCTCTGAGCAGCCTGATCTAGTTGAAGATGGTCATTGCAGGGGGGTTGGGCTAGATGACCTTTAAAGGTCCTTTCCAACCCAAACCATTCTATGATTCTACGATCCTTCTCTGACAGGGGCACCTAGCTTAATGAAAACAGAGAGCCAGCTGATGTGATGCATTTTGACATGATCTCATAGAGCATTCTTTTAGCAAATGACGGAAATATGGTCTATGTGAAGTAATTACAAGATTGGTGCACAGCTAACTGAAAAACTGTAATAAAGTGGTCCTCAGTGATTCAATATCAAAACGAAAAGACATTTCAAATATGGTTCTGCAGGGCTCTGTCTAGAGCCAAGCTCTCTTCAGTATTTTTGTTAACTAACTGAATGATGAAAGACAGCATGCAATTGTAACATTTGCACATGACGCCAAGTTGGGAGAGTTGCAGAAATGCTGGACACCACAATCAGAATCTGAAACATCTTGCCAAGCTGAAAAATTAAGAAAACAGTAACCTGAAATTCAAAACGATATGCAGAACCCTACATTTAAGGAGATTTTTTAATACATATATATATATATATACACACACACACATGCTCATCCCAAACAAATCTGAGACCATCTGCTGATCTAGAAATACTATATTAAGAGATCCAGGGTTTACAATGGACCACAAATTGAATAAATTGAAGTAGGATGACTAGCAAACAAGACAAATCTCATCTCAGCATTCACAAAGAAGGTCGTATATAAAATGATAGTGATTATTCCATTTTATTTGCCAGGTGTCAGCTGGGGCCATAATGAACATCACTGATGAAGAAATATACGATGAAACTGAGCAAGTCTGCAGGAGAACAACAAAGTCACCAGCTATTTAGAAAACACAAGGAAAATATGAAAAGAACCAGGTTGTTTTGTTTAGAAAAGAGATCCCAAATTAGTTATTAAAAAGACAATTATCTTCCATAGTGTGCATATAAAAACCAGAATCTTCATTTTCAGTACAGAAGATGTTCGTATGTATAAGGAAAATATTTCTAATGTGAGTAATGAATGACAAGGACAGACTGCAGCATCTCTGTATTATAGACTTCTGTTTGGGATGTGCTGGGCTTAGGAGCACAACCTTTGCCTGGACTTTCCCTTGCAGGCTTTCACCCAGGCAGATCTAAATGCAGGTCTTTGGGCATGTGCAGAAGGAAATGCTTCATTTGTCCCACTTGAACATGGGAAGCTAAAGCCATTCTCACTTGGGCAAGGGAAGGCATAAGGTGAGACTTAAGCAACTGCTGATGTGGTGGTGACAAGGCAGAGGTCTTACCCACTGGCTGCATCCAGAGGGCACCAACAGGATCTCGGTTGTCTAGCTGTGCCTCTGTGGGATGCACTAAGTCATCTCTTGCTGTCCTTTTTAGCCCTGCATTTCTGCATCTCCATTAATTTCAGGCAGAAGTGAGAGCAAACAGGTACGGAGAAACAGACCTTTGATAGCCTTCTCCATCAATACCGACACAGAGGCAGATCAGCGCAAGGAGGTTTCCAGATCTGGACCCCTGGCTGCATGATTAGCTTGGTTAAAAAAGGCCATCAGAAAAATGAGGGAACTTGTTCAGATACCAAAATCTCTCACTTTAGGTATCATGGTGTGAAGAACATAAAATCCATTAGCATAAAAAGAACTATGTTTACATAAAAACAGAATTTTACAGTGGTAAGAATATTAAATAGAAGTTTATTCTATATTCTTTGATTATAGTTGATAGAATTGGGTGGTTGCCCCCTCACCAGCCCTGACCCCACAGGAACTTCTGTCTCAGGACACAGCAATGTAATAGCACAGGAAGCTAACTGTTAAAAAGCCTGGTGCTGGGTATTGGTAAAGGAAAGTCAATAGCAATATACAAAAAATAGTAAGCACTTTTCTGAGGCCATAGAAAACTCTGCAACCTATACTGCTCCTGCACAGAAATTATTCAAATATTACAACCATTTGGTGATGACCAGGGATCAGGGGAAACTGGGCCAAGTTATCAGCTTTCAAATCACGTATCTTCGAGACACTTCACACACCAAAAGAGTTTTCAAACTCCCTGTAAGCTGTACTTGTTTCATTTACTCAAATATATAGACAGACAGCACTTTCAAAAGTGAGTATTACAGGAGTATTACAATGCCTGTTTTGACTGAATTTCACAAAGTAAAAGTTCATTTTGGCACAGCCATTAACGCAGATAAAATAACTGTTCATTTCTATGTTCAAATAAGATGTAGTGTAACACTGCTAATTGTCAGCTGCTGTATCCAAAGATACGGTACAACCACATCTACTGGCCTACGCCAACCAGACAAAATGCTTTTAGTTTACAACTGCTACAACCCAGTTCCAATCTATGATCACCTAAACTTCAAAAAAAGGTTCAGAACTAAATGTTGCAACGTCTCCCCCATGGACATGTGCTGGACAAATTACAACCACTGATATATCAGTTAAACTTTGGACTAATATTCTTATCTTTGCTTTATAGATTGAAACTGATTTTACCAGGCAGAACTCTGCTCTGACTTCAGAGGTATTTGCTTAATGTTGGATACAAACACTGATGGAGGAATGAGATAGAAATGCACCACAAAAACCTGTTAATAGCCAACTAAAATATGTTTAAGTATCCATGTTATTAATGTGCTTTTTATAGTAATAAAGCTAGTCTACTGTGCTGGTTTTGACTGGGGTAGAATTAATTTTCTTCATAGTAGCTGGTTTTGGGGCTGTGTTTTGGATTTATGCTGAAAACAGTGTTGATAACACAGGGATGTTTTTGTTGTGTAAGCAGTGAGCAGTGCTTACAGAGCCAAGGCCTTTTCTGCTCCTCACACCACCCCACCAGCGAGTGGGCTGGGGGTGCACAGGGAGTTGGAGGGGACACAGCTGGGACAGCTGACCCCAGCTGACCAAAGGGATATCCCATACCATATGGCATCATGCTCGGCGTATAAAGCTGGGGGAAGAAGAAGGAAGGGAGGATGTTTGGAGTGATGGCGTTTGTCTTCCCAAGTCACTGTTACGTGTGATGGAGCCCTGCTTTCCTGGAGATGGCTGAACACCTGCCTGCCCATGGGAAATGGGGAATGAATTCCTTGTCTTGCTTTGCTTGCATACGCAGCTTTTGCTTTACGTATTAAACTGTCTTTATCTCAACCCATGAGTCTTCTCACTTTTACTCTTCTGATTCTCTCCCCCATCTCACCGGAGGGAGCAAGCAAGCAGCTGTGTGGTGCTTAGCTGCTGGCTGGGGCAAAAGCATGACACTTACCTACATGACATGACTTAGTCTCATACTAAGCTAGAAAACACACATAATTTAGAGAGAAATGATATGTAAGTGAAGGTTAGAAAATAATAGCATATCGACAGCTAACTTGCATTATCTACTTATTTGATAAGTAGATACAAGCATATTCATTTGGTGGCTCCAGGATTCATCTAATAGCTTAATTTTTTGCTGTGCACTGATACAAAACTCTTGAGTTATTTCTCATTATATTCGAACCTGAATGTCATGTCCCTGGAAGAGTTATGCATAATTTTGCAGAATCTATCAATACTGAGACATTCTGTGTAAGCAATCTAACATTAGATATTCCAAGTTATCAATTTCATGACAAGTATTTCATCTGAATGTGTGATACTCATTTCAGCTAATCACGACAAGCTAAGAAGATTTATTTCCTCAGCAGTGGTTCAGACAATTGTTCACACTCTCCACTTCTTATGAATTAAAAATAACTTACCTCACTCCAGTTGCCTATTATCCAGTATGCATCACCAAGCAAGTTGCTGGATGTTATTAGGTGGCTGTTTGGTGTGACATTCGTCAAAATCCCCTCAGATGTTGCATTTTGGTTCCTGAGAGTATGCTCAAGAGCTGACAATTGTGTGCTGGAACTTATGGCATCAGGTAGCTTTATTTCTCTTCTCTTGTCAGTCTGGTCTCTCGGTACATCACCAAACGCTGTGGGCATTACTGTAACCAAAGCTTGTGGGGTAGTTACTTCTACAACAGGCACATCAACTTGCAGACTGATATAGTTTGCTGTTGTTGGAAATGCCAACCCTTGTTCTGCTCTGCTAACAGGAAGGAGTGTAGAAGTTTCTGGGTGATGAGATGCTGTGGGGGGTTGAGAAGTCACACCCTCATTTTGAAGGACAGGAGAGCTGGTATCTAGGGTTGTGCTCCTGGTTCTGATTTCAGGATTGAGTTCCGTGCTGTAAAGAAGATCAATTGGTTTCTCACTGCCTCCAGCTGCCCCATCAATGTCATCAGATTCTTCAGTTAAATAATCATAGCTGGAAGTTATTTCTGGACTACTGGTGAATGAGGAGACAGGAGTGTCCTCACTTCTTTGCACCTCACTCTCTACAGTAGAAATTGGCTTACTTTCAGAAATATTTTCAGCATGCCTTGTAATTTCAGTACTTAAGCTATTATGAAAAGGCCATGAAGTAGTATTTTGGTGTGAACTATTTTCAGTAGAAACAACTGAATAATTGTAAACATCATTTGGTCCAGCAAAATTATTTTGTAATGTTTTGTTGGCTGTTCCTTCTTTTACTGAGACATTACCCAAACCAGAGGATGTGGGCAAACAGGGAGCTACCGTTTCAGGCTTGGGTATTTTTGTTGTTGTACGGGACCTTGGGCTTGGTATGGTTATTCTTGGAGGAGGAGTCTGTTCAGGATTAGTACTTGTTTTTCTGATTATGATCTTTCCTCTTCTGGGTGCCAGTCGGGGTATCAGAAATCTTCCAGCAGAAGGACATTGCTGGAGACCACACAGGGCCTTAGAGTTTGGTCTCTTGGAAGTATCACATGGTTCATCCTTATTTTTGGCACAAGTGACATTACGAGTCCTTATTCCACCACCACAAGTAACCGTGCACTGCAAAAAGAAACAGAATTAATGTGTCTCCCCTCTTCATTCTGCTGCACATATCAATAAAAATAAGTATCAAATGGCACTTGTTTATAATAAAGCAGCATTGCTATAAATAATCAATAACAAAGCTTTTCCTGAGGAACAAGCCCTTCATTCTAGTGATGTTCTGCTATCACGGAGCTCTTTCCAGGTTTTAGAACAGTAAATGTCACCTTGGGGAAACAGTCATGAAAAAGAGACTAAACAATAAAGACAAAATATGGAAGTAATATGCTAGAATTTTATTTTTTTGGTGAATCACAAAAGTTGTTTAGCCAACACCTTTTCTACCAGGGTTAAAAAAAAAAGACTAAAATTCTGCCAACAAATATATATCCAACTGGCACAGTGCTGGCTACTCACAGTGCCACAAATCCACTGTGATCATCCATGCAGCTCACAGATCCTTGCTGACTTTATGAAATGGCTTTTTCATTCAGTGTTAGTGCAACAACCACATGCTGCCAGGGCTGCTAGCATGTCTCTCCTAATTACAGACTACTGAAAGTAATTAACCTACCTGGCTTCTATTTAAATGGAAACACTTTTGTATAAGGGGTGCTGGAAGCTAAGACGACCAACATTTTCTGTGATTTTTTTTTTCATCCTCAGCCCACAGGCACTGGCATGCCTTCAGCAGCTGTCCCTCCACTGAGAACTTTCTGAAATTTCAACCAATTTCTCTGGTCTGAGGTACTAAGGCTGGATGACTGGTCAGGTATGAATGGAGATGTTACATACAACCTACTGGAAGAAGTCTTCCGAGGATGCAAGGGAGCCTGACCAGCTAATTCAGCTGGCTTAAACCAGGTGCTCAACATGAAGTGATGAACACTCCTATTTGCCAGCACTTTAAAACCCCTGGAATATCTAACCCTTTTTAGAGCTAGTCTAGGTCATGGGGCAGTAGAAACACCAGAGACCTTGTGTTACTTGGGGCTCCCTCTGTTGTTAACACTTGTAAAATACCATCAGCTCTGCATCAACAGGAGCAGAGAGGAAAGTTCATTAGCCTGTCTTCCTTCCACTGCCAGCTGTATAGCACATTTCTAGTACTCAGGTCTATGCAAGTTTACATCAGCTGCTGAAGTTATTCAGTAAAGGATTTTGCTTATTGAGGAAGGCAGCAATTGCCAGCACTACACTGATGCTTACATAGAAATACAACACACTTATTTTGTCAGACTTTGCCACTTGGATGATTTAGATTAGCATTCGTGTGAGTTAAAAGGAGCATCCAACCTCATTAACTTTTGAGGGTAATGGCTATGTCCCAGAATTAGCCTTGGAAATCTCTGCTTTAGATTACAAACGTTTACTAAAAAGAGACTTCAGAATGGATACAACACTCTATCCTCATTATCTGTCTAATTAAGTATGTTCGGTTTATAAGATACAGAATGATTTTCTCACAGCCAGATAAGTTCAGAGCAAAAGGAAGTTTTGCCTGTGTAAAATCCCTCCCTTACATTCACTAATAAGGAATGTTCTGCAGTTACAAGTCTCCTGACAATCCTATCGTTTGTGCAGGAGAAATAGTCTGTTCTACACTTCCTCCCCTATTTCTACAGGTGTAGAAATTTATTTTTGTCAGTAATTTGCAAATATAATCCAACAACAGAAGAGGACCAGCTGTATTCTGTAATAGCATGACGTTTCTATATAGTTGTACTGCTAGCAATGTAGTCCCAGTCTATTTTTTCACAGGCAGTTAAAACATGGTGGCTACTCAATTCCCAAAACAATCAACATTCAGTGACAATGGTTTGTAAGCAGCATAAACGGAATTAGTACTGTCACAAAATTCTATTAGTTTATTACCTGAATCTGCTCTCAAACACAATGATGAGTCTGGTAAAAAAAAAAAAAAAAAAGAAAAAAAAAAAGAGGAGAAAGAAGGGAGAGGAGTTTTCAAAAAAGGAAATTAGACCAGAATAGAACAGAATAGACTAGACTATTTCAATTGTAAAGGACCTCCAACGCTCACCTAGTCCAACTGCCTGACCACTCCAGGGCTGACCAGAAGTTAAAGCATGGTGCTACAGGTGGTGTCCAAATGCCTCTGAAAGACTGACAGGCTTGGGGCATGAACCACCTCTCTAGGGAGCCTGTTCCAGTGTGTGACCCCCCTCTTGGTAAACAAATACTTCCTGATGTCCAGCCTAAACCACCCCTGGCGCAGCTTTGCACCGTACCCATGTGTTCTATCACTGGGTACCAGGGAGAAGAGCCCAGCACCTCCCTCCCCACCTCCCCTCCTCAGGGAGCTGCAGAGAGCCGTGAGGTCGCCCCTCGGCCTCCTTGTCTCCAAACTAGACAAACCCAGAGTCCTCAGCTGCTCCTCACAGGACATGCCTTCCAGCCCTCTCACCAGCTTTGTTCTCTCCTCTGGACACATTCAAGGACCTTCCCGTCCTTGTTAAATGGTGTGTCCCAGCACTGCACGCAGCACTGCAGGTGAGGCTGCACCAGCGCTGAATACAGTGGGATAATCCCCTCTTTTGGCCGGCTGGTTTTGCTGTATTTGATGCCCCCCCCCCCGGGGGGGGGTGCCCTCTGGGCTGCCAGGGCACAGATCTTGGCTGCCCAGATCCCCTTCTGCAGGGCAGCTCTCCAGCCACTCCTCCCCCAGTCTGTACTTGTGCTCAGTGTTACTCTGTCCCAGGTGCAGAATCCGGCGTTTGCACTTGTTAAAGTTCATCCCATTAATCATAGAGCAATGCTCCGATCTGTCTAGATCCCTCTGCAAGGCCCCTTGTCCCTTGAGACAGTCAACAGCACCTCCCGGTTTGGTATCGTCATCAAACTTGCTAATGGTGCATTCAACTCCTGCATCCAGATCATTGGTCTTGGAAGTTTTGAAAAACTTAGTAAACTTCATTTTTATTGACACCTGAACTGGAAAACATTCGTTGTGCATTTATTGTCATGATTGTCAGCTACACTGATAAACTATCTATTTATAAGGTGAACCATGAGCAAGTCATACTACAACAGAATAATAAAATAATTTTAAAATTTCACGTGACTCAAAAGCTACTTCTCCCCACTCCAGAAGTGCATGTTTATTTTTCATGGAGAAGTACACTGCTCCACATGTGGGGGACCCTGAACCCTCCTTGCCTTCAATAGAAAGTGAAGTTGTGAAACACCTGTAAATACGAGCACCCTAATCTTAAGAAACCTAAGAAGCACGAGGTCCTTCCACAGATTAAAATCTATGACAAAGCACATCAAATGTGTGCTCCCTACTAGTACTAACAAACATTGCAGAATATGTTGCAGTATATTTAAACAAATTTAGTATAGTGCAGTGATCATTTTGATGACCTCACATTCTGCAGATCATCAGCTGCCATGAAATAATTGCACCATATTTAATTAACTCTTAAAGGATACACAGGTATTCTATTGTTTGTTAGGGCTCCAGATTAATACTGGAAGTAAACAGCTTGCATACTGTAGCAAGAACAGCAGAGTTACGTATGCAAGAGATATGAAGGTAAAGAATATAAAAATGGTTCTTTGTAAGCCTACAGACATGACACAGAGCTTCTCTCCATCTAGTCCAGAGCAGTAATAAGTACTACACAGATTTTCAGCATGCAAGCATGCTCTGCTCTACAGTCCCAAACGCTCAGCAAGCCAAACCCCTAGAAACAGTTAACACACAACATTTGCTGAGGTCTTTAGGAAGCAGGGCAGCTTTTTTCTTCTGCATAAAGGATTTGTGAAGACATGTTAACAAAAAAAAACAATTAAAAAAAGGTAAAAAAGCAAGTCATTGGTCCTCTCTGCTGACTATAATAGGTCATTTTGAAAAAAAATTTCAATATTACAACTGCCATGTTTACCTCAGTCCAGTTGCCCACTGTCCAGTCAGATGGGCACAAGATATCTCTGTTGCACGACAGATGAGTCTTCGGTTTAAGCAGGTGCTGGCACTCTGTGACAGCCAGTGCCTGCTCATCAGATCCCACTGTCTGGATGCAAAGTACAGTTCGCTTCTTCTGGCCTGTTGGGCCACACGTGGTCGAACATTTTTGCCACTCTCCTGCCCACCATCTGAAAAACAGAGGGGTAAGAAACATCAGAAAACACCACATCACAAGCATATTAGGGAAAGGTCAGAGACTACAAGAAAAAGAACCAGTAATTTAAAATCTGGGTTCGGATATATATTTTTCATATTAAATCCAGATCACTCCAGCTTTCTCATCTGCCCTGTGCTCCAGTACCAGCCAATCACTGAAAGATGCTGATTCCCACACAGCAGTGGGCACCAAGTATTATATTTCTACAATGCATAAAAATCCACTGATTAGATGGTCTTTCAAATCCAAATTTGAGGAACTGGTAGCAAGTTTAGTAATCTGTTTACTCCATCCTATTGTTTATCTGCTTGCTCCTACCTCAGTACAGAAAGAGTTAACAAATGAGAATCAGGGAAGGGTCTGTAATGTCAGCACAGAGGTGGAGAAGGTTCCCACAAACATCTACACAGCCAGTACTGCACAAGTGCTCAAACTGGCCCTGCGTTACCTCCAGATGGAGAAGCAGCAAGGTACACAACCCCAAAAAACAGGCTAGTCAAAGCTATGCTGAGGGCAGGCACCCATGTGAGAGCAGTGACTTGCAGTGCTGTACCTCCGGGTCTACTCTCTGCATCAGCACTCGTCTGCACTTTTCTGTACTTTGCTCCTTCATGAAGTAAAAACAAGCCCCTTATGTGTCTCTCTCCCGATCAAAGATGGTCTGCTATAGTGTGCTATACAATGTTCCACCAAATGGAAGAGAAATGTTTCCTTTAGTGCAGTATTTTCCAATGAGAAACACCTTACCAACGAGAGACATCCTCTTTATATTTGGTTTACCTTAGCCTTTCTCCAGCTTCATTCACCTATTTCTTCCCATGGTGGCCCAGAGTGGATCAAACATCTGCATTCCTGGGTTCCACGATAAGAAAGGGGGGGCCAAAAATTTCTGGGTTTGTACTACTTGAGAAGCATTGGTATCAACTGTGACATTTGCCTAAAGATTTACCTTTATACTTAAAAAAAAAAAGTCTTTTTCCTTCCAGTTTAGAGTGCCCTAGGCAAGAACATAGCTCCAAGCTGCTGTATGAAAAATGTGGCCCAGCTGTGAACTCTAGGCCACGAAAGCTTCTAGACAATATTACTTGTTCCAGAGTTCTGAAGCAGGTCATGACAAATCCTTATGCTGATAACAAAACAGGGATATATTTAGAAAACACCTTTCTTGACAGAAAGGCAGAAAAAAATCAGTTTTGATTTACAACCAACACCATTCTATCTTTTTAAGGTCCATGAACTTAGAGAAAAATAATCCCATTCTGATAAATGCATCAAAGTTCAATGTCCAGTTTTATAAGTTTTTGCTCCTTGCTTTGTCTCCCATCTTACTGCATTTCTGGCTTCTTCAGTTTGCTGACAATCCCTCTTCCTTTTCCTTTGTAGTTTCCATGTTGTTCTTCTGTTTCCTGACTAATATATTCTTCATTTGCAAATGAGCTGTCACTGATGTGGAAGGCACTGATACCTATTCCTAATCATTAAAAAAAAAAAAAGACTCACAGCAATCAAGCTATGCACACAGCTCATTTGTGCAACCATCTGGTCCTCTCTGAGGTACCTACAACTCCCTTCCTTCTCTTTAATTATGTATACATACCGCATTTCCTTTTAAATTACCCTACAAGCCCTTTGGGGCACAGACTATTTTGCTACATGCTCTAGAATGCAGCCCATTGCCACCACGGCCCTGCGTGAGGCCTCTGGACATTGCTGTAATAAAAGAACAAATTATTTTTCTCCTTCTCCTGCCTTTCTTTGGATTGTTGCTTGCTCATCCAGGCTTCTGCAAACAACAAAGGAAAACTAACAGGTGGTTAAAGAGAAAAAGCAAGCACATCTCAGTGGAACACAGCAATAAAAAGAGAAAAATATATTATCACAACCTGAATCAAGCCATTTCAGGGTTGTTTTCATCTCCTGCATCTTCTTTCCAATTTTATCATCTCTAGTATCTTGTAAATTGCTGACACTTCAGCACAAATGCAACTTGAAGTATGTGAATTGCCCTATTAATTTTAATGGAACCCGATCACATATTTCAAGCTACAGACATGCTAAGCTAACACCCCCTCGCTCACCATTTTCAAATGGCTCTGTGTGACTGTTCAGCAGTTTGCAGGTTTAAATACCGAACTCCTAGCAATAAATTATCAGATCTTACTACAGAACCTATCTTGATCAGCAATGGTGCATGATTAATTATTGCATGCAAAACATTTTTAAAAAGTCATGGAAGAAAGTAAGGTGATCCAAAGTTAGGAAATCCCAGAATTAAGATTTTATCCTATTGCACCTTCATGTCAATCTAAATTACATTTAATCATGTAACTTTTTTTATATTTCATAGAGTCCTTCCTCATTCAGTGCAGGTAACAGATGGTACTGGTGAGCAAAGCAGTTAATTGCCCGGCGCCTTGTTTACCACACACACTTCAAAAAACTTGTTCTGACTCAAAGTTTATTCTTATCAGTAACTGGAGTTTTTAATGGTGGATTTTCCATATTTGCATTCTAGGGTACATGCACACGCCTTAAACACTCAAGCATGAGAAATTTAATATGGAAGTACATGCACTCTTGTCTCTTCATGGTCGCCACTGAGGATTTCTGAACTGTGGCACCCCAGCCAAAAGGGAAGAAAGGCAAAGCAAGGACAGCAGAACATCTACCATCCATTTGTCTGTTTTGATACAGGATGCCCCAAAGCAGGTCCTGGACCACACAGAAGGGAGCAGCACCTGCGTGACTGCTTTGCCAAAAACTATTATCTTGGAGCTCCTGCTGTGTCCTCACACTGCAGAGGCATAACCAAAACTGGAGGTGACTGCTGAGCACACATGCAGAATTGACATAGCAATCTGAGAACCAAATGTGCAACTTCTAAGCTGAAGTGATCAAGCTGTCAGACCTCCCAACTGTAAGCTAGAGTGGAGGGCATTGCCAGACAGATGTAGCTTTGGGCAGGTTATAAACAAGGCTTTCTTTAGATCACACATACAGAGAGATGCTTGGCAAAGAAAAGGATATGGGAAAGAAAACTCGTACATAGCTGTGCTGATTGTGGTGAGAGACTGAGATGAGTTGGTGGAAACTGAAGCCTGATGGGAGTCACCGCCCAGTACTTGCTCCTACCTCTGGCTTCTGATGGCATTTACCACCACAGCAACGTAGTGGTTCTTAAATATTAATGTATCACCTGGTTCCTGCAAAGTGACAGGACTGTCTTATTGCCACAGGCAGGCATGGCATGGAAAGAGGGTGGTAACAAACAAACAAGCAAAAATGCATGATTTTGGTAATTAATTTGTGTAAGCACTAATTTTCCTGAGGCCGTTGAGCTACAGAGCAGTCTGTATGGTGAAACCATAACCTCAGTTAGTCTTCAGCTGTAGCTCTGAGTGCTCAGCTCTTCTGCAATCCAGCCTGGGACAGAGGTAGGGAGGTAGGGAGAAAATCTGATTCCTTTAGGTTGCATTCAGCTGCCTTAATATCTCATGACCTCTCTCTTTTCCACCCACAATGAGTTTCCCAGGTCTATAACAATTAAGATGGGGCCCAACAGCCTCGTCCATTATACAACCCTCATCTATACCCAGATGATGTGTGCTGAATGAGGTCTGGATCCTGTTGAAAAAGTACTAGCATGGGATTTTGGAACCAAAGTTTGCTATATTCATGCCTATGGGGCTGAATGTTTCCTCCCTCCCACCGTAATGTGTCACACCTAAAGAAAGACCGTGTTCTTTCACTATGTGTTTGTATAGCATCAGGCACAGCAGAGACCAACAGGGCACTGATTTTCACTCTGTGTATTATAATAAAACAAGATTTCCTATTCTTATTGTGCTGTTGGAGTCTATTAAGCAGTCTGGAAGCAGGACAATACAGTAATAGCAGATAAAAAGCAGGAGATCCCAAGTACTTGTAAAATAATCTATTTATGGTTACTCTGTTCAAGTGGGTAGTCAGGTTAAAAAGGCTCCAGGCAATTTTCTTTAAAGGGGAGAGCAAAACTTTTCTTCACAACACTGTTAGTAGTTAAAATCCCACTCTTTTTCTTCAACTAGTATCTATTGATTTTTATCATTAACACCTATGGTGCTAACTACCTGCCTACTAAAGAAACATATAACTGGAAACCATATTCCATAGCATAACGTGGAAAAAACCCATGTATTTATGCTACAGTCTTGTTGCACTCCTGCTAAGCAGTATCACTCAGGTTTTACATGAGCGGTCATACGACATTTTAACTTTCAACTGTTCAGCCATCTTTATTTTGTTCTAAGTCACCATGTGACATACATGTATTGCAACATTTTAAATATTTTATTTGTTTCACTCCAGATTCTTTTAGTAGAAAGTGTGGGAAAAATAAATGTAGACCAAACCAACTAATAAAAAAGAATGTTAAGACTTGGACTTCTCAGAAGCCTGTCATTTAAACAGTTTATAATTAACTTCTTGAAATGGATTAATGAGATAATACCTGGTTTGTGAGAGTCACAAGTATTACATTAATGTTATTCTTTGCCTGTAGCTACCGTTGGATAGATTATCTACTTCTGATTTAGTGGTCTAGTAGCTAGTTTCACGGTAGCATGTTTTCCATCAGTGGAATTTAGCAGATCATAGGAGAGAGGGTTATGCATGATAACATCCTTATTGTTTAAGATAGGATGTTCCCACAAAGAAACTGGTTTGCGGTTGGGAAGCCTGAGATCAGCTAACAGTTTCAGTCCCATGGCTACAGCACTAATCAGAGGTCCACAACTCTAGCGCAGAATTTAGCCACATCTCTCCAGAGAACACTTGTTCTTCAGCAGCTTCATATGAACTCTCAGTTGTGCTACATCATACCATATGAGACAGCCACACCTTTCTCCACCATTCAGATTTTCTTTAGAACTGACAAATAACCCAACTGCACCAAGGACTTGCATGGTTTAAGCCTCAGCCAGCAGCTAGGCCCCATGCAGCTGCTTGCTTACTCCCCCCTGGTGGGATGGGGGAGAGAACTGAAAGGGTAAAAGAGAAAACTCATGGGTTTGGATAAAGACAGTTTAACAGGTAAAGCAAAAGCCATGTGTACACACAAACAAAGCAAGACAAGGGATTCATTCCCCACTTCCCGCAGGCAGGCAGGTGTTCAGCCATCTCCAGGAAAGCAGGGCTCCATCACACATAACAGTGACTTGGGAAGACAAACACCATCACTCCGAATGTCCCCCTCTTCCTTCTTCTTCCCCCAGCTTTATACGCCGAGCATGACGCCATATGGTATGGGATATCCCTTTGGTCAGCTGAGGTCAGCTGTCCCAGCTGTGTCTCCTCCCAACTCCTTGTGCACCCCCAGCCCACTCCCTGGTGGAGTGGTGTGAAGAGCAGAAAAGGCCTTGGCTCTGTGTAAGCACTGCTCAGCAGTGACAAAAACATCCCTGTGTTATCAACACTGTTTTCAGCACAAATCCAAAACACAGCCCCAAAACCAGCTACTGTGAAGAAAGGTAACTTTATCCCAGCCAAAACCAGCATGGTACTGTCTTGCAATTCAGATGGGGATGTGTAACTGTCTGTCTGGATTAGAGGTGATACATATGCCATTGAAAGTAAGTACCAACTAAATCTCATGCTGGTACTACAGTCTGGAACAGAGACAAGATCTACAAAATGAAGAGCTAGGGAAGGGTGGAGTCAATTCTTCACTGCCATCTCTTCCGTGAGAAGAACTCGGGGCCACCAACAGAAACTAGTGAGAGCCAGGTTCAAAATAATTAAAATGAGGTGGTGCTTCACACAGTAGTCCTTAAAACTGCGGAATTTCTTGCAGAGGAAAATGTGTATGACAGACGTTTTACAAAGTTGCAGAGGGAGGCTGAACAAGTACTTGGAAGAGAGGTCCACTAGAGGTTACTGATTAGACAAGCCATAAAAGCCTCTGGAAATGCCTTGACTTAAAAACAGTTGGAAGCTGCAAGGGTAATAGAAAGAGATATAATTTATGCTTGCCTTGTGTTTACTCTTCCTCAGGCATGCAGGCCCTGCTGGGCGCCAGAACAGACTTAGACAGACCCTTGGTTAAACCACTACAGTCACTTTTCTGATATTAAGAGAAAACTAAGTATACAATGTGACTCTAGAATTAAATACGTATGGGTTTCCTGCATTGTCAGTATTTTGCTGTCCTCAGAAGGATAACTAGTCCTTTCGTCTGCTGTGCAGAATGAGCTTGAGAAGTATCAGTGAGGCTGGCAGCATATGAGCTTTTCTGCCTGGCCTGCAGAAGAGACTGGTTCACACGTCACATAATTCTACAATCTGCCCAACAAGGGAAAAATTCTGCTCCCTCACTTTCAAGGGCAGGTCTGAATAATGCAGTCACTTAGAACAAATAGGATAAATTGAGCTCATTTGGAACTCTGGAATAAGTAGCAGATTTTATATGTGCTATAAACAAAAAAACACCTCCATGCATGTGGGTAGCCTCAGCTCTTAACTAGTCAACCAGTTAATAAGTTTGATCTACTGTCAACGGATTTCCTAGCAATCTACAAATTATGAAATGCTGGTGGTTTATGCTTTTAACACTCATTTATAGAGGCTGCAAGCACAAAGATGTAATTCCCAGAGGATGCATCATATACGGTTGTGAAGATACTTGGAAACAACCAATAAAACCAACAGCCATGCAGAATTTTTTACATTAAAGCTTCATGAAATTCACTGTTGGCAAATGTAACGTGATACACTTTAAGGGAATCATTGTAACAACTTCTTCTTGATTCTGGTTTAACTAGAATTACTAGGGAAAGACTGCTATACCATTATGAACAGCATGATAAACAATTTCCGAATACAATGAAAGACAAAAGCAAGATGTTCCAGTACTAAAACATGAAACTAAACCCAATATTGATCCCTTCCGGCAAATCTGTGCCTATTTTACAAGCCCACAGTTCTATTGTCACCTGGAATGCTGGCTATTGTTAGTCTTCCTTACCTTGCTAAAATGATAGAACAGAAAAAAACAGAGATGAAGAGGAATTAAAATAATGTTATGGGAATGGAAAAGTTGATTCCAATGTGATGACAGAATGAAGAAAGCTGCATTTCGCTGAAAGGAAAAAATAAGAAGGGAATGCCAAATAATAAGTGTTATAAAGAAGGTACAATAATTAGTTACAGAAGTGGGCATTTCCACTCATCCTCCCTCACAAAAAGGACAAAGGAGTATAAAAAAGTACTGAAAAACAGCATCAAAAGGCTTAAAAAAACCTCTCTGCAAGTTACTTTTTAGAACACACATTAATACATTATCATTCAAGCTAAGACAGGAAAATTATTTTTAAAATAAGTAAGAATTTACAGAGTTTTCAGGCACATCTGTATCTAAACTGAACAAAAAGAGTATCTTTAGAGATGAGAGAGCAATCTGCCATTCCCAGCACAGACTGCTTGGTAACCAGCATTGGAAACCTCTTAGGGCAGCTCACTCTTAGCTGGTCCATTACTAGTATTCTGCCACCTTGCTCAGAAATGCTTGGGAGCTCTCACCATGGTAGGCTGCAGGTACCACACTAATCTGGTACTAGAAACATCATCTTCCTTTGAATAATGCTGCTATTTAAGATTACCAGAGCCCTCCTAGTATCTGTTACCTGGGTGGACAGTCCTTTTCATAGCATTTCTTTTGTCGCCCATTTGGCTGTGTTGCTGGGTCACAGAAGGAGTTTTTGATGGCTCCACTTCCCTTCCACATGCAGTGGGCAATCTGGCGCCGTACCCCTGCACAAGAAAGACAAAAAAAAAAGGAAGAGTAATCCCTGTAGGCTGGGGATGAGCTGCAGAAATCCTCTAGGATGGGGAGTACACACTGGTCATACTCCACATCCCAGAATACAGTAACAGCTGTGAAAGTCAGTTCTGCTGAATGTCTGAGCTAAATCAGGTACGAGCATCCTTTAATCAAGCTGAAAAAGTGTTATGCAGACCTCTTTTGGATCAGATAGCTCAAGCAACACACTAGAAAACATTTTCCTTTAATCTCAATTTAGTTGTCAGCCTCAGAAAGGGCTCCTGCAGGCCCTGAAGTAGGTTTAAAGGGCTGTGAATGGTTCTTGGGTTACTCACAGATAAGAGACAACACAGCAAAATCAGGCTATTCACAGCAAGGGCATTTTTACCGATCTTTTCTTTGTACTTCTGGGAAGGCTGTTTAAGTAGAATATGAACTAGATGGAATGTATCACCAAAACTATAACCCTATGATTCTTAATGATGAATTCCACTTTTCAGAAGTTTTGGTACAAATAGATGATCTTTGAGGTCCCTTCCAACCCAAACCATTCTATGATTCTATGAAATCTTGACCAAAAATGATGATGACATGAGGGAGAAAAATATCCTGTTTTCTAAAAACCTGTCCTGGATAGAGTTGATTTTCACAAGAAGCTGGAAGGGACACAGCCAGGACAGCTGACCCAAACTAGCCAAAGGGATATTTGACACCGTATGACATCATGCTCAGTATATAAGGTGGGGAGCTGGCCAGGGAGGAGGGGTTGCTGCTCAGAGATGAGCAGGGCATTGTGTTCAGAGCAGTAAGCAAATTCTGTTGTGTATCATTCACTTTGTATATTCTAAGTACTGTCATTGTTATTTCCCTCTCCCTTTGCTGTCCCAGTAAACTGTCCTTTTCCCAACCCAGGAGTTTTACCTTTTTCTTCCAATTCTCCTTCCCATCCCACCTGCGATGAGGGGTGAGCGAGTGACCACATGGTGCTCAGCCACGGCTGGGGCTGAACCATGACAATAACTAATACAAAGTGCTTGTCACAAGATGCAAAGCACAGTAATGACGAGAGACACAGAGACATCCCATACATACAATTTGTGTTATTTCCTAGCAGTTCCACTTACAAAAACTCCCACTCATTTAACAGAAAGGAACATGAACCAAAATACTGCATTGCCCTAGTGCCAATCTAAAGAAAACCAGTTGCCAGAGCCTGCCTTCCACAGTTTTGCAATAATTTGACGTGCATCCTGTGCTGCAAACCCAGTGTAAAAAAAAGTATTGCAATATTACAGTTTAAAAGGTTGTAGCTAGACTGATATAGAAGCATTAAAATAGTAGCATTAGACCTACACAAAACCTGAGGACTAATAAAGACTGAAGAAACCTTGCTTATTAACTCTAGTTAAATTAACTGTGCTATTAATTCATTAGAATTAATACGCAGACAGTAGGTCAGTGTATCTCTGTGACTTTTAGCCTTCTCCTGGGAAGTGAAGGGCCTAATAGCACTGTTAATATGGTGTAAGGGTTACGTGTTAGACTATCTTGCAGTATGTTTAGGAGTTGAGCTTTTCCTTGCCTCAGACCTCATCATAACTAGTTTGGGAAACTATCTGGAAGAACAGAACAGTAATCCATAGATAATAATACTTGGAAAATGTGAAACTATTCCTCGATACAACATATACTTATGTTTCTCTATACAGCAATGTCCCCATATATGGCAATTAAAACATATTGCCTAAAATTTCATGCTAGCATTATGGCTATCTTGCTTTAAGTAATTTCACAGCATTCAACTTTTTTTCCTCTCAAAATTTTAAAAATCTACTTATAAAAATAAATTTAAAAACCCTCAAAATACCAACTCTAATACTAGGAAATCCAAAGCTGGCAACAGAGGTAACTTTTGGTGGGAGAACTGAGCATGGACTGCATGGGCGAAGGGGAAGCTTGTAGTCAGATATTACTGAAAAAGGCCTCCACAAGGAAATGAAAAACTTTCTATGCATATTTGGGTCATTCGATGGAAGCAGATGGAAACCTATATTCCATTTTTATAGCACTTTAAGATATCAGGGCTGTGACACTGAGGAAATGCTATAGCTTCTAGAGTACTTTCAGTCTCGTGACAGACATATAAGACAACTACCGACAACAGCACAGGATTTGGTGACTGAGTCTCCTCCAGTCATATGTGAAGGTTGATTTTCTAGCACAAGGATTAGTTTCTCTTAGAAGGGAGGATTACAGGACCGCAGCTCTGTGCTCCCACTAATTCTCTTCATGGAGGCATTCAGGCTCCTGGGTACATGATGTGAAGTAGCTGCATGACTCTGTAGCGTGGCTGGACGTGGCTCTCTCCTGTCCTAGGGGACTTCAAGCAGCAGAAAGCTTTTTGGTTCAGTACAGGACTCCCAGGGAGCAGTGCTTTCTTTTATGCTATGAAACATGCAACTGGAATAGTTAGTAACCTTCCTGCTTGTTGTAAACAAAGCAGTTCACAGAAATATGTTTCCGTCCCTTTCAAAATCATGATATGTTGTTGTTAGAAAGGCAAATAAGAAAACCCTTTTGTTTTGATAAATTTTTTAGTGTCATTTCAGCTGCTGTAATTCACTTTAAAACCGCCATAAACCTTTGCAAAAGTTTTGTTGTGAGGCTGTGTATTCTCATAAAACGTTTGCTGATCTCTGGCATCAATAAACTAATTTATTCAAACAAACAATTTTTATTATGGAAGTTATGTTAAATCCTATTTAGTTTCAAAATCTGGAAAGTTCTGAGATGGATATATATCTTTAGGAGAAGCCATAAATGCAGTTTTTTATCATGACTATGTATAGTTCAGTTCCAAAGTTGGAAGGAATGCTATTATGCATATATTTATATGCACATATATATATGTAGGTATACATATAATGACATAATGAAATATAGTTGTTTTTTTTCAGCTTCAGCAAGTTGAACTAGAAAACATTGCAGAAGTAGAAAACTAGTCACCTCACATTGACCCTGCCCTACCAAACATTTACACAGTTACATACTTATATGTGTAATATCCTATTTAAGTCACAGATTCTAAATATACTTTAAAACTCAGCAACACTGAAAACCTAAACACTATTTCTATAGGGCTCTATGAGGATAACTGTTTTCCTCCCTTCACCTCTTTTACTTCTGTCTGACCTCAGTGCTCACCAGTCCACGCTGGCAACTGTTTTGCATGCACAAAGATGCTGGCTGTATTCATCAGGATATTGTGGTCATAACCCCACTGAAAAAAACTTGCTTTTTCCTCTGGAGTTGAAACATCCCATTCCTTTCCACTCACCTCAGCACTCACTGCACGGTAGGTATCACTACCATCACTTCACCATGTCCATTGCTGTAAGAATCACTTGCAAGTAAAATATAAAGTTAGCTGAAGCAGCCCTTCCCACACCCATGTTTCTTTAAACAGAAGTGTACCATCTCAGCTCTGTGCAAAAAACACTACAAATATTTTTTGGAAAAAAAAAAGATAATGACAGTAGTCAGATCAAAGAATGGTGTTGATTTCACTAGATCTGCTCAGAGATTGTTTCTACCCCTCTGCCACTTCATCCCTAATGCAGGACTTTTTAAATGGGAGGTTGACCCATTCAGCTCCTGATTTCTTAATTTGCAAAAAAAAGGTGCCAGTTTAGAATAATTCGGGTGTGGAAGGTTTTTGAAACCGAGATCAGAAATCTGGCGGCTAAACAGCCCTCTAGGCACAATTGAGGCTGAGAACAAAAGAAATGAAGGATTAGAAGCAAACATACAAAATGTGGATGCAAAAGAGCATATTTGATTGTAAAACTAATTTGAACAGGTAATCATCACAGTTGTGCATCAAATCAGATACTCTGCAAGGAGTTCACTTTGGTATTTGAATGAACAAATTATATTCAGTGCATGCACAAGTTATGTACACAATACAAGAGCCAACTTTTACATTCTTGGTGTTAGGAAACTTAGAGTCCTAATAGCAAAGAAAAATATAGTGACCTTTGTTTTTTTTAAAATCCATGCTACAAGTTCAGTACTACATTTAAGTTCAGGAAGACCTGGAGGTAATTTTGCAAAGTAGCTCTGATAACAGTTGTGAAGGATTTAGAGGGCACATAACAATTAACCCCCAAACAAATCTTACAGTTAAGTCCTTTTCCAAAGCTTTGAAAATTTGCCAATTACTGATGTTATCTGTGGAGAAGTAAATTATTCCAGTTGCCTAATACTCTCCCTTAGTGGCAGCTGTGTTGTGCTTTGCATCTTGTTACATTCAATGCCACTCAAAGCTAGTTCTAAGAAACATGATTAAAGCCTTCAGACAAGGATAAAGTATTTATACATGTAATTTCTATTTGGCCATTTTTTGAGAGAAAGAATAATGGGTAGTTGGTCTAGAAAAAAAACTCAGTGAGGCATTTAAATTAATCTTCCTATAAAAAGCATAAGGGCTTTACATGCTGTCATACCAGTAGGCTCTGGAGGGACAGGCTCCTGGCCAGAGGGTGCAGCAGTTTGCAGGACACTGTTCGGTGTGCACACAACCTGACTGCAAAGCAATTCCTTTCTGCATAAAGCAAATGGCAGGCAGAGATTCAAACTGGCCTGCAGTGAAGACAGCACAAGGCTTACAATTCTTAGTATAAACTATCCCCTTCAGCATTTGTTTGCCATGAAATAGGTTGCAATGAAATTACTGAACTATTTTCTACACTGCAAATGGATATCAGGTATTGCAATGTGTTCTTTTTCCTGCATGCAGTATTAGGTATGTTTGCTACAGAAAACATTGATTTTTCAGACAATACTTTTAACTTGTTAAATGGTGTTATTGTAGGCTGGCCAGACCCACTCTTTGAGACTACAAAAGACAAGGGCGCATGAAGTAAATGAAGGAAAACAAGCACATTTGCAACTTCTCTTTCTCAGTTGCAATGGAGTTGGGCAAGGATAT